GTGGGCGTGGTCAACTTGTAAAATATGGTGAAACTCACTTAACAATGCTCTTGCTTAGCAACCAAAATGTTGGCTCAGAAATTCTGGCATTTGAAGCACAAAAATCTTAAAGCTGTCAAGTTTGAACACTCCTGGGTTTTTTTTCCCTAAAGTGTTAGGGATGCAAGGGTCTTGTAACTTGACAGCTTTAAGATTTTTGTGCTTCAAATGCCAGAATTTCTGAGCCAACATTTTGGTTGCTAAGCAAGAGCATTGTTAAGTGAGTTTCACCATATTTTACAAGTTGACCACGCCCACCCAGTCACATGACTGGCAAGCCACTCCCACCTGGTCACATGGCCAGCAAGCCACTCCGACAAAGAAGGTCACACCTACAGAAGAGGTTCTAAAAAAATTTGAAACCCACCACTGATCTCTACCGATACATTGCTAATTTCTAACTCCTGTATCTTCTTCATTTAGTCTTTCCTTAAGGTTTACACTTGTCCTCTAGCCATTTGTACCACTTGTTCCATACCATGTAATATTCTGTTTCCTCCTTTTCTTTTATTTCTTTTGTAAATTTGTCCATCTCTGCACACTATTAACATTTTCATTATAACATTCCCCTCTGTTGGTACATTATTATTCTTCCAATTTTGTGCATATGTTATTCTCACTGCTGTTATGATATATATATATATAATTAAATGTTGTCATATTTCCTTGTAGGTATTTCCAATAAAAATAGTTTCATTTTCATATCTATTACTGCTTAGTAATTTATTTGAGCCATTTTTGTATTCTATTCCATTATTGTTTAGCCTTTGGGCATAACCACATGTGGTAATGCGTTCCTTGATTTTGCCCACATTTCCAACAGTTCAGTGATAAGTTTGGGTACATTTTAGCCAGTCTCGCTGGTGGGAGATGAATACCACCTCTGATTCTGTACCTAGCAGGAGCTTTCTGTTGCTCAGGCTATGGCTGCTGGCAATCAGCCAAGACAGGCATCTTTAAATAAAGACATTTTCATGGGAGAGCGTCGCAACAAAACCAGGACACCTGGTTATCTTAGCAGACAATGAAGAAGAAAGAGAAGAAGAAAAATCAATAGCTGATTCAGTGCCGTCCCTGGGAATATATGATCTGTCAGAAATCACGTCCAACCTGGCTGCTTTAACTCAGAAGCCATCAGGGGTCGTAAGAAAGTTCTCTACAGCCCTTTTTGCTTTTTGCTGTCCAGCAGAGACTCATACTGGAATTAAGGCAGCAAAGAACTTCCTTCACTAGACAAGCTCCCAAAATTGCTAGTCTTGGCTACGGTGAGATGGATCAAAAGGAACGGCAATCTTAAAGCAGGGGTCGGCAACCTTAAACACTCAAAAAGCCACAAAGGTCCTAAGCGGAAGCCCCCGTTCAATTCTGAAGCTGACCGGAAGTCAGTTCCCCCACCATAGAGTTTCCTCCTAGTGTGGCGTCCTTTTTCCTCTACCTGTCCTAACCGAAAGCCCTATCAATTGTGGAGCTGACTGGTGACAGGGAGCTGCAGCAGAGGGATGAAAGAGCCACATGTGGCTCCAGAGCCACAGGTTGCTGATTCCTGCACTAAAGGAATAGCATTGGGAGAAAGGAAAAGACAATACAGATAGTCCTTGATTGATAACTGTGATTGCGACCCAAATTTCCATTGTTAAGGGAGTTGTGCGGCCATTAAATGAATCTGGCCTCCCTCATTAACATCGCTTGTCAGAAACTGGCTGGAAAGGTTGCAAGTGGTGATCACATGACCCTGGGATGTTGCAACTTTCCTAAATATATACCAGATGCTAAGCACATTTATGTACATTTACCATAGTACATAAATGGTGAAGAGGTAGAGAGGGTTGGTAGTTTTCAATTTCTGAGCATTTATACCTCGGAGGACCTCTCATGAATGCTAACATGCTTGCGAAGAAGGCACAGAAGAGGCTGTACTTCCTGAGAATGCTCAGGAAGATAAATCTATCTCAACATCGACTTCTGTCCTACCATCGCAGCACTATTGAGAGTGTGCCGACATACGGCATTCTTGCATGGTATGGGAGCAGCTCTGCAGCAGACAAAAAAGCTCTACAGAGAATCATTAAAACTGCCCAGAATATCACCGGGCTCCAGCTACCAGCCCTGGATGATATCTTCGCATCTCGCTGTTTGAGGAAGTTGCATAACATTCTCAGAGACTCTTCCCATCCTGCTTACAATCTTTTTAGCCTGTTGCCTTCTGGCAGAAGATACAGAATAGTTTCTGAATAGCTTTTATCCCAGAGCTATAATTGTACTCAACAGTGAACTAAAGGGCCACCATCAGAGAGCTATTGAACAGCACTACTTAGTCTGTTGTCTGGGTGCTTGGGTGGTTTAGGGGTGGGGGGTGTTTGGGGATTGTCATGTGTGTTAGGCCTGATCTCTGGGTGTTATGTGAATTCCGCTGTATGTGTATACTCTATATATACGTACAGTGACAATAAAGTTTATATATTTATATATTCTACAGCTAAATTTTGATCACATAACCGTAAGGATGTTACAATGGTCACAAGTGCAAGGATTGGACATAAATCCCTCTTTTAAGAGCTGTTGTGAGTTTGGATGGTCATTAAAAGATTGGTTGCAAGGCAAGGACTACCTGAATGGAGGAAACATTGATGACAAAGGTATGTGTTGGGGAAAACTGGCACAATAGTTGGAGAAAATGTTTATGTGAAAGCATATAATACAGGTAGTCCTCAACTTACAAGCACAATTCAGCCCAAGATTAAGTTTTGCAAAGTGAGAAATTTGTTAAGCGAGTCTTGCCCCATGTTACAACTTTTCTTGACACGTTTGTTAAGTGAATTACTGCAGTTCTTCAATTAGTAACCCGGTTGCTAAGCGAATCTGGATTTCCCATTGACTTTGCTTGTCAGAAGGTCACAAAAGAGACCGTCTTCTGCCACATAAGATCGCACAGGCTGGGTCTTCTCCGGGTACCTTCAGCGGGACAATGCCGGCTGGCGACGCCTAGGAGTAGGGCCTTCTCTGTTGCCGCTCTGGCCCTATGGAATGAGCTGTCCCCAGAGATTTGGGCCCTACCCACCCTCATAGCCTTTCGCAAAGCCATTAAAACCTGGCTTTTCCGGCAGGCCTGGGGCTGTTGAACCCTTGATAGTGGTCCAGCCCCATCTGATTGGGTGTCTGTTGTGCTCCTTTTTAACTTGTTGTGTCCCATTGTTTTAATAATTCTTTTTAATTCTTTTTTCATTCTGTAAGCCACCCGGAGTCCTCCAGGATTGGGCGGGCATAGAAATTCAATGAATGAATGAATGAATGAATGAATGAATGAATGAATGAATGAATGAATGAATGAATGAATGAATGAAAAGGGAATCAACTGTTACCGTCATAAATCTAAGTCAGTTGTCAACATCCCTATGGAAATCACATGACCATGGGGATGGTCAGTGCTGCTACGCTGTCATAACTGTGATATTGGTCATAAGGGACTTTTTTCCTTGCCGTTGTAACTTGGAACGGTCACTAAGCGAACAGTTGTAAGTTGTTTTGTATTGTCAAAATCAGATTGATATCAAAATAGGACGACATTTGTCCATATTATATACCTGAAGATAAGATCAAGAAGTGGCCGAGACAAGCAAAACTGGTAAACACACAAAGAAAGGACAGAAAGTGATGTCATCTATCGACCTTGGCAACTGCACTGATTCCTGCAAATTTACTTTCTTTTTCTCTGTCTATCATTCCAGTTCACCAAAATCCTTTTCATCTAAACTTCTAGGGAAAAAAAAAAAACATCGTTCAATTCTGCTACTGGCTAAAATATCAGCCTTATGCAGACAAATTGTTTCAAAGATTCACTGCAGGAAACGTCCTGCGCAAACTGATTAGGTCCGTCCCGATGCATTCTCTTTTATCAATCAGTTTTAATAACAGCCTACTGTTCCCCCTACATTTAAATGATCTTGAGGTCCTGTGGTTTCCAGTCAAATCATTGTCCAATTCCAGTTATTTCTTATTCGAAACGTACCTGTGTGCCGCAAAGAACGATAACTCAAACTCTCTTACTAAAAGGAAAAAAATACACCTTGTGTTAATGGAGAGCAATGATGATAAATCATGGTTATGTTTCCAAGAAACCTGAGCAGGATCATCTTTTTTAAAGTTTCATATATGAAACACTCGCCTTTCAAGAGATAAGACAGTAAATCAGTGTTGGCTAATCTTTTTGGCACCGAGTGCCGAAATGGGAGTGCGCATGCACGGGGTGTGTGTGTGCCAGAAATGGGAAAAGCAGCTCCTCGGCATGCACACGCAGGAGCACCAGAAACTGGAAGAGTCATTCCCCGGCGCATGCTGAACTTCCAGTTTCCGGAGTGCGTATGTCTACTGGTCACCTGGTCTTCCAGTTTCTGGCACATATGTGCATGCAAAGACCAACTGGCAAGTAGAAACTGGAAGTTCAATTTCCCAATGCATGCATGTCCGCCAGGGAGCAGCTCTTCCGCTTTCTGGCACTCCCACACACATGAAGACCAGCTGGTTGGTGCGCATGTGCACAGTGGAACCCAGAAGAGCACTGGGCAACAGCTGGCATGCCTGGAGAGATGGGCTCTGCATGCCACTTTCGGTACGTGTGCCATAGATTCGCCATCGCGGCATTAAAAGACAAGACATGTCTAATAGGAATAATATAAATGATTATGGCCAAAATTAATTAATCTATAATCTCTAAAATGAACTACTATTTTGACCTGAACAAAAGAATCCATCAACAGCTTACTTAATTCATCCAACGCAGTAATATTGAGAATACTAAGAGCTAAGAAAAATAGTTGTATTGCCCAGAAATTAGGTCCCAAAATACTGATGATTAAACTATAACTGAGAGTTATATTAATTTCCATAAACTGAATGTAATATACGGACAGCATTATAAACTTGATTTCTATGGATGATCCTAGCTCTTCTTCAAACCATCTAACTTAATGTGCATGGCTATATCCTATAGAAGCAAATTTCATAAGCTGTACACTATGCAAACAAACATCCCTTTATGCCACTATTTTGTTATTTGATATTTCTAGGAAAACAATATAGAGAAGGTTTATATGATGTAATCNAGTAAGTAAGTAAGTAAGTAAGTAAGTAAGTAAGTAAGTAAGTAAGTAAGTAAGTAAGTAAGTAAGTAAGTTGGAATTAGGTGTGCAAGATATGTTAAATGCCAGGTTCATAAAAATGGCATCAGCAAAAGGAGAAGAGTAGTAACACTGAGATTAACTGTAGAAGTAGAGTTCAATATTTTTATTTCCTTCTGTAGGTTTTGGGGGGAAAACCTTATCTGGACCTGGAATCTCCTTTAAGTGAACATATCCTCTAGTTTTCACACAAAAAGTGTATTAATTTATATCAGGATATTCTTGGTGTAGACAGGATTTTGCCTGATCTTCCACACTTTTTCCCTCTTACTTTTTCCATGGGGGGGGGGTACCCATCCTTTCTGTGCTCTACTCTCTCAGTTCTGAAATTCATTCTTTCAAATCTATATTACTAGAAAAGAGGGAAGACTGCTTCTAGAAGGGAAGAGTAATTTCATCACAAGCAATTCTTGTGCTGCAGTTTATTTTATATATGAGTAACGAATATATGTTCTTCAAGTGCTGCAAACTAAAACTCCCAACAATCCCACCCAAATGACAGGTGGTGAAAAATGTTTGAAGTTGTAGTTCATAAACTTGGCAGAACAAGTAGGACTGGACTGGAGTAATCTTAGAAAATTTTAGAGAATCTTACCTCTCCATAGCAAAATGCTAGTGTAAACATGTCCTTGGAATACCATAGAGAAAGTGTGTGAGAGTGAGATTTCTTATGAAACACATGTGTTCTAATGTCTGCACAGATCCTAGTTGCAAGATGTATTTATGTGCCATCATTAGCATTCAGGGGTTGATTCTGTGTAAAGCAGAAATTCAAAACACCCTTCAAAATTTCCCGCCCTCTCAGCAATATCACATAGGTTATAATTGTTAGAGTCTTAACAGAGCTGCTTTTCATCAGTGTAAAGATTTCTCAACAGAAAAAAATAGATTTTATCCAACAAGAGTTCTGTATGCTTAAGTCATTCTTATCACAGAATGGCTGGGGAATGTTGTTAGCACATACAATGTTAAAAAATGGAAGCAGCCAAATAAATTTATGGTGTTCTTTCTGTGCTGTTGGCTACCATTGGTTTCATATGCCCAATATAAAGCCATAATGGCGAACCTATGGCATGCGTGCCCAAAGTGGCCCACGGAGCCATATCGCCTGGCATGCACTGTGTCGCCAGTTACTCTTCTGGGTTTCAAGTGTGCATGTGCACACGACAATCAGCTGGCCTTCATGCCTGTGGCAGTGCCGGAAACTGGAAGAGCTAGTCTTCCATTTTCGGCCATGAGCATGCCCGCTGGCCAGCTGACCGTCGCGCGCGCATGTGCACCAGTAACCGGAAGACTAGGTGGCTCGCTGGAAACCGGAAGTTCATTTTACGGCACGCGCATGCCCCCTGGCAACTCCTCTTCTAGGTTCTGGTGAATGCTCCCTTTTTGGCACTTGGTGCTATAAATGTTCGCCATCACTGATATAAAGGAATTATTAATATATCACAGTAGATTCATTTCTTATTTAAAAGCAACATTACTTAACTATATTTAGATTAAATCTCCATCTGATAAAAAGCATCCACAAAAGAGACTGAAAACAAGATGAAGCAATGACATCAGCAAATATTGCGGGCCCAACTGGCAAAGGAAAGCTCATATAGGTTGGAAACATGCAGAAAAGGCCTTCATCTTGCAGTGGATAGACAATGGTTAGAATATGACGATGATGATAAGATTAAATCCAATGTTATATTAAGAACCAGTTTGGTGTAGCAGTTAAAATACCAGACTAGAAACTGGAAAACCATGATTTCTGCACAAATGAAATACATAAATGAAATAATGAACAATATATGCAAATGAAATAATGAGCGACATTTAACATTTCTCTTTTTATAGTGAAGATAAAATTTTAGAATCAGCTGTTGTCAAAGTCATCATCCCCAAAGAGCAAAATGAGTTGCTAGAATCTGCTACCTGTCTTGTAGCAAAAGAGCTCCTCCAAAAGGCTCCAGAATTAATCACTCAGCAACTGGCTCATCTTCTCAGAGGTGAGAGATTGGTCTTTATATTAAATACTGAAAAGTTTAATGGAGTGTTTCTGGATCTACTCATGCAGTGAGACTGTGATCCATTCTTTGGTTAACAATCCTTTTGAAAACCACAGGAAGCTGCAAGAAACAAGTAGAGTGAGAAGAGTTTGTTACATATTATGCGGAATATTAAAAGTAGGCATGGCTGGGATGTTTGTTGCATTGTTAGATACCAGTGTTATGTGAAGGCAGCCTCATGAAGGAACCAAAGTATATCTCATAAAGCTCTATTTTTGATATATGTGGGATTAAGGAAATAATGCCATAAGAGGTGTCATGTAGATTGTCCTAAAATCTACGACCACAGTCGGAAGCAGAATTTTCATTGGTAAGCAAGGCAGTTGTTAATTGCCCAATTGTATGATCTTTGGGTTGTGGTTGTTAAGCAAATCACTGCAGTTGTTAAGTCAATCATACCATTATTAGGCAAATCCAGTTCCCCCCCCCCATTGAGTTTGCTTGATGGGAGCTGGCTGGGAAAATAAAA